CTCTGTGTTTTTACAGTTCAGTATTTCCCTACCAAGTCCTGAAACTTCATTTCTAGTCTCCAGCCCCAAAAGTAAAGGAAATGTAAATATGCACACTATACAATTTTTTACTGTTTTCATGGAAGCAATAAAGAAACACACTGCGATTTGATTTTCGCCTGTCGATGCAGTTAACCCTCTTTCACTTCCTAAAAAAAAAGATTTATCTTGTCTATTCTGAAGATATTTGTGACAACAGATTTAAAAACCTGCTTTCTGAAGCATGATTATAACATGCATAAAATGTAGAAGGACTTAGGAAACCTTCAGGAATTTTCAGCTTCAGGCTTCGATTTTTCTAACATTCTCTGGATCTCTTAGCTTCTGAGATTCTTCCGTGAAAAAAGGAAACAGTTATGAGGGTGGAAAGCTACATTTTTATCTTCGTTTTTCACTAGATGACCAACCTCACCATTAAGGGAAAAATACTTCATGGTTAAGTTTGAAGGAATTGTCCAGTCATGCATACTTCTTCACCGATTTCTTCTTTCATTCATGTCATAGCGTTCGGCATTTTGAGCCTTACTTTTTCAGCTTACAACCCTTCTCCATACACCCCTTTCTGTTTGTCTTACTTGCATTTGGCATATTTGCATTTAGCTTTTACTCGACCTCGATCTCTCTAATGTTCATCCTGCGAACAAGATATTTACTTCTTTAAAATAATTTAAAAAAATACTCACTATCTTTTCTATTCTATTATTCTCTACATATTAGTTTATGTCTTTCTCACTTTTTAAAAAAATTTAAATCCCCTTTTATATCTTGAAGATATATACACATATATATTATGTGTGTGTGTAGATATTATTTACATAAAAGGTATTTTTCTATACTTATCAACTCAAGTATTTTCAAATTGGCCTGTTTAGCTTCATACTATCACAAAACTGTACAGTGCCGTAGAAAATGTCATCAATTAAGTTTAATTTTAACTTTTAATACATATACAATTTATATTAAAAAAAAACTTTTCATTTAAGATCGATTTGTATCCAACTAAAATCTCTAACAGTGGGACAAACAATGTTAATCCACAGATTCTGCTTATTTAATGTGAAAAAGTCATAGTTATTTCGGTCTTTAATAAAATCATCCTTAAGATATTCTATATGGAATATTCACTGCCTGTAAACGTAATATTGAGAAATAAATGTGTAGGATGAATCAAAGTAGCACAGAGAATTTGTAGTTAAAATTACAATGTATAAACAAAAAAATTATGAAATGAATTGTTAATAATAACGACTGAAAGGAATCAATTTCAGCAAACAACTCGTGTCTATATTCAGGTAGTTAGAATGGAGTTGACATATTCGAAAAATTACGAAGTACCTTTGTAGAAGATCCTTCTTTATTCTTGCAGGAATTTCAGAGAGAAAATATACCTTATAAATATTTAGGACTGTTGCATTGGCTCTTACACATTATACTACAGTGCATTAGTTGCTTAGAATACACTTTATATAACAAAAAATACAATAGATTTTTGCCTGCATATGTTTGTTTCTATCTATCATCTCTAAACCTGATCCACCACCCAGGACCCTGCAAAGTCCTTAAGAAATGTGCCCATAAACTGGCTCGTGTTCTCTCTAAAATTTATAATAAATGCCTGTCTGTTTCCTGCTTGCCTGTTTGTTGAAAATCATATTCTGTAGTTCCAGTCTTTAAGAACTGAAGCGTTCCGTCTGATCAGTCTGACAGTCGGCCTAATTAGCATTCTTAACTTCTTTTGAGATCCAAATCAACTCTGAACTGATTAATCACCTCACATCGCAGGGTTTTCGTTGAGATACGCGATATGGCGTTCGCTTCTCTAAGTCAACTGCTGATATATTAACGGTTATTGCTGAAAGTGTCTATCAAGCTTTAAATACGAATGGTGAAGCTTGGGCTGTTGCTTTGGATATCTTAAACAGGGTGTTACATAATGGTCCTCTCCGCAAGTTAAAAGGTTATGGTATTTCTGGACGTATTTTTTTTTTAACTGAGTCAACCTTTTTTATCAAATCACTAAATGAAAGTTGTCTTGAATGGACATTCTGCTAGATTTTTTTTCCTTAATGTAGGTGTTCCCCAGGGTTCTGTACTTGGAACTACACTGTTCCTAAACTTTTTATCTATGCTCATGTCTCAAGTATTTACTCCAGATTTAATACTAATTCTGATCGTTTCGATATGGTCAAATTGGCAGCTGATCTAAAAAATAACCTACAATCTGTTGTTAACTGAGGCAAGGAATGACTTGTTAATTTTAATGCATTCAAAAAGAAAACCTCTCTCATTTAATTATCCGAGAGAACTCTTTTTGCCTTTCATTCGTACGGTCGATACTAACCTCCAGGAGAGTGACTCATTGCACTTTCTCGGACTAACATTTTCCGATGACGTAAGTGGAAAGATTATATCGAATCAATTGCTAGATCTGCTGCCAGAAAATTTGGTTCACTCTGTCGTGCCTTTTCTCGCCAGATTCTATCTTACATATTGATAGGTCTGCCGTTCATCCATATGTCGAATATTGCTACCATGTCTGGTGCTCCTGCTACATATTTAGAGATACTTGCTGAAATCTAAAGAAGAATCTGCAATATTATTGTTCCTGACCTGACATCTCGTAGATGTAACCGTAAGTTCTTTGCGAACAGTTTATTTTCTCGCACTACTAACCTGTGGAACTCTCTTACGGATTCTTGCTTTCCAACTTTGATCTTCAAAAGTTAAAAGCAATATCAATCGTTATCTACTGTCTTCTTGGTTCCACTTCTTTTATTGTTCTTGCTGCTTAATAATGTTTTTCTTTTTCCTTTACACACAGTAACCCCTTATGTCTTAATGGCTTTATTGCCTTCCTTTTAGGCGAAAAGATTAAAAAAATCTATGTCATTCTGTTTATTTCTTTTACTTTTTATCTTTATCTCAGCAGTAATTTACTTTTCTAACTACTTTTCTTTTTCTCTACTCTTTCTCTCTTTGCGTTTCATTGCTTTTTATACACATATTGTTTTAAATTATGAAAATGTTTCATAAAGTATGTCAAAAGGAACTGTTGGAACTGCTAGGTAGCTTTGACATATTTGGGAAGGATATTAAAATAATATAGAACCTTTATTGGCATCAAGCCGCCTGCATAACGATAAAAAATGAATTCAATATATATACAAAAATAGAAAGAGGGGTAAAACAAAGATGTGAAGCGATTTTGAGAGAATTATAATCCCTACCAGGATTCATTAATGGTGGCTACAATCTTAACATAAGATATGCGAATGACACAGTGTTGGTAGCAGATACAGAAATGAAAATACAAGAACTCCTACAAAAGGAAAGCAAGAAAAAAGGACAAAACATCAATTGCAAGAAGACAGAATTCATTGTTGTCAGTAAAAGGGACAAACCAATATACTAATTACAAAATGGTTGATACCAAAATCAAACAATGAAATTGGAAATATCAAAATCAAGTACAATAATTTAAGTATCTTAGATCTATTTTAACAAAGGATAGAGAGTGCGACACTGAATTCTGAAGCTGCATTGGGATAGCGAAATTTGCCTCCTAAAATCTAAGCAAAATATTAAGTAACAGGAATTTTTCATTAGAAACAAAAGATAAGTGTATTGAACTCTTGCGTGATATCAGTCCTCTTCTATAGCAGCGGATACTGGACAATATTGTCAGATGAAGAAAAAAAAAAAAGAAAGACTTGAAGCTACATAAATGTGGTTCCATAGAAGAATGCTTACAATACCATGGACAGAACATGTGTGCAATGATGAAGTTTTTGAGAAGATGGAAACGAATAGGACACTTAAGAACAGAAAGAGTCAGTTGAAATTTCTAGGGCACATAATGAGGATTGATGGAAGGCAAGATACTTAAAGGAAAACAATGCATCATCTACCTAGCGAGCTTGTGTAAATGGATTGCGGATTTTTTAGGAGACAGGAAATTATAGAGAGCCATGATCGCCAACATCCACAAGAAACAGGCCTCAAAGTAAAAGATAGCCATATTGTGTCTACTATTTGTTGAGTAGAAAAAAAACCCCAAAAAAACACGCATATTCTTTAATACCAAATACAAGTTCCGAGGCGATTACATCCTTTCATTACATCATTGCATCAATTAAATCATTTCATTGCTCACCCTGAACGATGCTTATTTGGTATGTAACGCTTATTATTTTTTCAAATAATTTTTTGCATACTACGAATATTTTGTTTCACTTTTATTAATATTGTATAAAGATTCCCGACGGAATGTTTATTTGAATCGTTACCCTCATTTATAAGTTGAAAATGATAATAGTCACTCACGCCGGCATGATTTCCGGACGGCACTTGTATTTGGATACAAAATACTACACAAATGCAGATAAACACACATGTGCGTGCGCCTGCGGACGTACGCACAGAAAATCATGCAAGCATACACAACGCAAACAGAGAAAAAATATTCTATCACAAGCGCATATCTGTAAATGCCAAATATTTACACCTGTGCATAGAGAACCTTGTCTAACGTGTACACTTACTATCTTCTTATCAAATACTTTTTGAACTACCTCAATTTTTTTTTTTTTCTTCAAATACTCATCTTTTTATTTTTTTTTCTATTCCTTGTATTTCCTCTACTGTCTTATTTTCGTCTTCTTTTCTCTCTGTAGACATTAATCTTTAATTCTATACTTGACCGCAAAATTCAACTTACAATGCCTTTTTCACGGATTATTATAAAGGTTTTTATTCCATGGAAGCTCACCGTTTTTTGCTTGATACGTACCTACTGGATTCTTTTTTTTATTGAATCAAAAGTAATGACGTTGATGAGCCCTTTATATAAAATCTTTTCAGCTAGAATTAAGATAACATCTTTAATGGTTACTAGAAGTATCTTCCCTGAACCCACCGGCAGCTGTTACCACTATTCTCACCGTGACCCAATTCTCGACCAGATCTCGACATATAATAAATCTCCTTTTACATATTCTATCTCATTGTCTCTCTCTCTCTCTCTCTCTCTCTCTCTCTCTCTCTCTCTGTCTATCTATCTCTGTAAAAGAAATATAAATAAAATTGAATTTCTATCCACCATATTCATGGAAAAAGCATCTAGCTTTTGCATTCATTTTTTATTATCTGTACTTGTCTTTTAAAATCTATCTATCTATCTATCTATCTATCCATCTATCTATCTATCTATCTATCTATCTATCTATCTATGTTTATATATCTCACTCATTTTAGACTGAGGTAGATGTATCTTCAAAACTACCTTAGCTGTAGAGATAATTGGGTATTTATCGTCCGAGCTCAAATAACAACCTAGATTTTGAATCTTGATTCATAAGACGAGTAAGACATTTCCAATTGGGAGATTGAACAACATTTTCCTATTATTAATAGATGTACATTCATGTACTAGTAAAAATTGCAGTACCTTCATATTCTATCTATCTATCTATCTATCTATCTATCTATCTATCTATCTATCTATCTATGTCTTATATGCTGTGGTGCTACTTGGTGGTGGTGTCAAATAAATGAGTGAATTTATTTTTACGCTAACTTTATGAAGACAAATTTCAGGAAGTTTCCATACCATATGAATTGCTAATTCATATTAGAATGAAAAAAAAAACAAAAATCCAGTAACAGAAAAACAAGCAACATTGAATAAAATACCAACTTCTATGCAAAAACACAACTACCTCAGCTACGATGTAAATTGATAAGCGGATATGGTTGCAACAAGATTTACAAATCAAGGTCTTAGAGAAACTGGAAAAAACGCTAGGTCACTCACACTATTAAAGTCGACTGTATTGATATTTCCGTGGAACTGTCACTGATGCAGATAGGATGTAAATTAAACACAATTATATGCAATATCACTCGTGCGTGTGTGTGTGTACAGATTAGGGATACACGTCAAGTGGCTTAAGCAATCTAATTTTATTGATGTTGCCGGTATTCCGACTTTCAATTTTTCCGTTACCCAGTCTCTCAGTGAAATATTGGATTTCGCTACTTGTTTCCCTAGTAAATCTGACCAACATTCTTCTTTACTTAACATGTTCCTTATCTGCTTTCCTAGCTCTTGACGAGCATCACAACTCTGTCCTCTTGACAGTTCGTATCACGCTGTAGTACTTGTTGATATTTCTTTTGAGGCGTCTATTAAAAATGAACCTTCTAACCACAAAACTTAATTCTTTTACCAGCGTACTGATTTCTTGACTTTATCCGAGACGCCGTTGGAATGATATTCTAAAACTTCCAAATGAGAATGAGAGTTCCTTCTTGGGTTAAAGTCGGCATTGATGCTTTTGTACCTTCCAGGTAAAACCACAATCTTCTCTTTAACATCGACCTGTTCAGCTACTATAGCCCATATGAATCACTTTTTCCGGTTGTATCTGCGTAATAGTTCCAATTACAACAAACGCCTATTTGTGTCTGCTAGCAATAATTGTAAACGTGTCCCTAAAGAAGCTAAGTATTTGTTTCTTGATAGAATGATGCACCGTATGGCCTCTAACACGTTTGTTTCTCGTGAATACCGGCGGCTCTGTAATAATGTATTAAATAAGAGTAAATCTTCTATCCCTCCTCTCTTCACTCAATTTGAGGAGTTAACATCTGCTGATGAAGCAGAATGTTTTGCTTGTAAATTCACTTCAAATTCTACTCTTGACTCATCTGGAGTTTTTTGCCTGACTTTACTTAGAACTGAGTCTCTAGTGTGTGATATGCATATAGCTCCATGTTTTCTGCTATCATCTCTAAACTGGATTCTCACAAAGCATGTGGACTTGATGGTATCCCCTCAATAGTCCTTAAGAAATGTACTCCTGAACTGACTTTTGCTCCCTCTAAACTTGACAATAAATGCCTTGCTGCTTCTTGCTTTCTGGCCTGCTGGAGTTCATCTTTTGTGAATCCCATCTTTAAGAACGCAGGCGAACAATTTATCCTTTTAACTATCGGCGTATTAGTCTTCTGCCTGTTTTAGCAAAGCACTAGAGGCTCTAATTAATTCTGAATTGGATAAGTCTCATCTCGCAAGGCCTTCTTTTAGATAAGCAATGTGACTTTTGCTTCTCTATGTCGACTGCTGATGTTTTAATTTTTATTATTGCTGAAAGAATCTATCAAGCTTTAGATAAAAATGGCGAATCTCGAGCTCTTGCGTGGGACATCTCGAAGGAATTTGACTGTTTGGCATACTTGTCTACTTCAAAGTTAAAAGGTTATGGTATTTCTGGACGAATTTTTTGAACTGATCCACTCTTTTTTATTACATCGCAAAATAAAAGTTGTCTGGATAGACACCTTTCTATATTTTTTTTTACATTAATTCATTTATTCTTGAACCTATTTAATTCCTAATTTTCACCAGAGACGTTCCTCATGCCAGCTGTTCTCAATTCGGTATCTATGCTGGTGACACAATTATTTACTCCTGACTTAATAGTAAATCTGATCTGCTCGATAAACTCATATTCGCAGCTGATCTTAAAAATGACTTACAATTTGTTGGTAACTGGGCTTGTAAATTTTAAAGCCTTCAAAACAAAACATCTCTCTTAATCTTCTGAGATAACCATTTTTGCCTTCCAAACACGCGGGTGATGTTAATCTCCAGGAGAGTGACTCATTGCACCTCGCCGGACTAACATTTTCCGCTGACAAGAAGTGGAAAGATTACATCGAATCAGTTCTAGATTTGCTGCTAGAAAAGTTGGTTCATTGTGACGTCTCCGACAATTTTTTCTCCGGAATCTCATATATATATATATATATATATATATATATATATATATATATATATATATATATATATATATATATATATATTTGTCATTTGTTCTTGCTCAGAATATTGCTGACACATCTACTCTGGTTCTTCTGCTATATATTTATAGACTCTTGATAAAATAATACAAACAAGTTATTTTTCCTGACCTGGCATCTCGGCTTCAGTAACTTTTTCACTGCCGACACCTAGCTTCCCTTAGCCTTTTCTATAATTTTTTTTGATAATTGTTCCTTTCAAATTTCCTTTATGGTACCTAGACTTTATGAACTTAAGCGTAGTACTTGATTGGCGGCAATGTCTCATAGAATGTCAATCGCTATCTTTTATCTTTTTAATTCCTGTTTTTATTGCTATCTCTCGTTAATAGTGTTTTTCCTCATATTTTCTAACAGTCATTAGCCCCTTGTGTCTTAATGGATTTATTGCTTAGCTTCGGGTGAAATGATTAATATCCATATATATATATATATATATATATATATATATATATATATATATATATATATGAACACCTCCGTTTGCTCATGCTCTTAATAAGTTTCCATAATGATAAAGATATACAAGATATGTAAATATCCATGCAATAATGCATACAAAATATAAAAAGATTAATTAAACATAATTTGAATAAACACTTTAAACTGTCGTTCTTATACGTATGTATTCGAGACACAACTTGCTTTATACAGTTAGATTAAAAGAGTAATTTTTTCACATATACATATCTCCCTATGTTCTGAAGCTGAAATTTGCGTTTGTGTATCATTATATTAGTGTATATAGCTTCTGCGATTTTTAATGATGCGTAAGAGGCTGCGATCCCACCCCAAATCTCATCATCTGTTTACGCACCATTGTCATCTTCCCTTTTAAATGGTCATTCCCAGAATTCCACTTTCGTATCCGCTTGAGCTATTTACTCATTTCCAGTTTTTTTCGTTCCTCATTTATTTTTTGAAAGAAGTTTACAATTTATTCTTTATTTATCTACTTTTTATTCATTCTTTTCTGTTTTTCCTTTCTTTCCATTTTGCGTAAGGAACAGATTTCCCACGATTCTTCGATGCTTTCAGATCTACCTGACGCACCTCTTATCACATCCGTCATTCATTCTTCTCATTCTCATGAAACCTCTCTTAAAGTTCCAGCTTCAGCACCGTGATTACTTGCTGACCTCTTCGTTATCAACACTGAATATTATTATTATTATTATTATTATTATTATTATTATTACTACAGTTAACAGAAGACCGCGATTTAAGCAAAGACAAAGAAAAGTAAAAACACTGTGTTTGACAATGTTAAACAATATTTCAACAGAATATGTCTTCTTCAAGTTATATGTAAACATCTTTTTCAAGTATGAAACTATATAAATCTACAAGAAAATTATCAATCTTTATACAAACGTTGCTTGTCTGTTAATGAAAAAAATGGCTGTACTGGTAATGAACGCGTCAAAACGAATGAAACACCGACAGAATGAAGGCATGCAACTGAAACGTGTTTAATGTGATGGTGATCGTGTTCATCTTGAAATTTTCCGATAATTGATTAGTTACTAAGAGGAATTAATCAAACAGCATAGTATAAATCTTATGGAACTCTCCTGTGATTCTGTTCATTTCTCCGGGCCGGAAAGTTAATTTGTGTACGTAATCATTCTCATGCATTTTAAGGGTCGATAACTCAGTAGATTCTGAATATCTTTTCAGAATGAGCACCTTAAGATGCTTGCAGAAATTACAAGCGTTTGTAATAAAATATTCTGCAAGTTTTGCTAATGTCACGTTATTATGTTTGACATTCTACCTGTTTCCATTGTATCTTTTATTTAATATTTCGGTTGTGCAACCCACATAAATCAAGACATGTGGTACATTGGGCGGCGTATATTAAATGTGAATCAACACAATTATCAACACCACCGCCACAACAACAACAGCAACAACAACCCAAGTAGCGGCCAAAGGAGGAAGAAAGACAACAACAAATGATGCAGTATCAACAACAAAAACTGCTGCAACACCAGCAACAACAAAAAAACATCAACAAGAAAAGCAAGAGAAGCAGCAATAAAAACAGAAACAGAAGCAGCAACAACAAAAACAACAACTACAGACACAGTAACAACAACAAAAACAACAACTACAGACTCAGTAACAACAACTAGAATAACAACATTAACAGAGACAACAACGGCAAAAAAAGAAAATCATCAGCAGTCCGACTCGGAGATGGAGGCGGAGGCGGAGGAAATACCTCAACCTCGGTTCTTCTCTTTGAAGAGAGGGAAAGAGAAGGAAGAGGGGGACAGGAGGAGAAACTAACCAAGAAGGAGAGGCTAACTGTGTAAAGTAAGACAGAGAGGGACATGGACAAAGCCATGTGCTGATACGTTCCTGCGTCGCTAGCGGAAAAAATAATTGAGAACATCAACCCAAAATCAAGGAGCTTCCCCACTTCGCCTGCTCGGGATCCATCCCCCTCCATTCCGACACCTCCCCACCGCACTGCTTCTACACCTCCCCACCATTCACTGCTACCTCGCCCCAACCGTCTAGGAAGAAAAGAAAAAAAAGAAACATTTCTCCGGGGAAAAAGATATCTGCAAGGTGGACACACGGGACTTGGAGAAAGATCCCTCCAGTCAGAAGGCCATTTTGGGTCTCCCATTTAAAATCGCCTCCGTCGACGGAAAGCCCATTGAGGATCCCCGCAATTTCCCTAAAGTCCTAGGTGAGATAACGTGTGTAACGGATACGAGAAGTTATTTGAGATCCGTGTGTCTGAGTTGGGATCCCCGGAACTGAAAAAATACTTTCCAGAATTTGTTCAGAGAGGGTACCGGTAATGTCCATCTCTCTATATATCGGGTGTTAAAACTAACGTACCCCATGGACGTTGGCGGTATTGTCCTAGGTTGGCGGAGAAGAGCACGGGAAATCTAGGACAATCCGTCGGGATCCTCCCCCGCGCACATTTTCGTCCATTATGTGAATAGGGTCTCTTCTGTTTTTTTTTTCAGACTTAAATCATGTCTATCAAGATAGCCAGTTTGAATGCGAATAGCCTGAGGGATCGGGGTAAAGTGACCGGCCTGCTTCGTGACCTTTTGTCGTTCAGTGTGGATGTTGCCGCGATCCAGGAGATGCACTTTGCAACGTTGATGCTTACTTGCTGTCTAACGAATTTTTCTTCTATTCAGCATATGGGGAAAAAACTGGCCAGAGGTGATTCTGTGCTAGTGAAGCGTACCCTGGATACGAGGGTTGATTGTGGCCGATATTGTCGTGAAAAGTGGTTCGTTTTGGATCGTTGAGGTTTATGCGCCCAACGACCAGGAGGATCGCATTTCGCTTTTTCGTCAGCTTGGACCGTTCCTGGTGGATTCTTCGCGCCTAGTCTTAGTGGGGGACTGGGATGCCGTCCTGGACCACATGTTAGACAGTAGTTGAGGAGCTAGCGGGAATGGGTGTTGGGAGAGACTTCACTACCGAATATGTCCAACGGCTTGAACTAGATAAGGCTAACAAGGTGAAACCTCTTAAAAATAGTATTTTCCGGGCGGTGGCTGGCAGGGATTCCCTTGAGATAGACCTAGCTATTGAGACCCTGCGGCGCGGGGCTAGAGAGCGCTACCAGGGTCAGATAGTTAGGTATAAGTTATGCAACATGTCTGGCACAGCCGTGAATACGGCGCAGAATTGCGCAAGGAAGAGATGTGTCGAAGTTCTGATCTTTAATTTCCGTAGGTCGATACCCCGGAGGTCGGCCAATGGTATGTGCGTGGGGTTTCGGCGGCATTTCGAAAGCCGGTTTACCAGGGAGCCTGACCTCGGTGACGAAGAGTTTCGCATCTATCTGACTGACTTTCCTCGGCTTTCGCCTACTGAAGCAGCTGTCTGCGAGGGTGAGATCACGGTGGGCGAAATTTACGCGGTACTGAAGAAGGTCGGCAGTGGCTAGTCTCCGGAACTTGATGATTTATCCTATGAATTGTACTTGAGGCTGTCGCACATCTTTGTTCCGATTTTGACTGCCGTGTTCAACAAGAGGTTCCGCCAGGGGTCCATCCCCGACCGGATCTTGAGGTGTGTGATCACGCTGTTGAAAGAGTACAAGGGTTTTGGGCGAGATGTAGACAATTACAGGTTATATCTCTGCTAAACACAAAGTTTGATATTATGGCCAAGTTTATGTTGGGACCCGAGCTGACTTGTTCTGTGAAGGGCTGAACAATTCAGAGAAACTTGGATCTGATTCACACGATCCTAGTGCAAGCCGCGTTGTTCAGTTTGGATCAGTCCAAGATATTTGATAGGGCCAACCATCAGTACCTGGCTGTTGTCCTGCAAGGAACCGGATTCGAACCCGACTTCTGCTGATAGATTAGCCTCCTGTATTGCTCCTTTAGCGCTGTGGTGTATGTGAACGGAAAGATGTCGCGTGATTTTTGCGTTGTCTCGGTTGGTTCGCCAGGGTAGCCAAATCTCGTCTCTACCTCACGCTTTAGCGTTGGTGCTTCTCCTTTGCCGGCTGAGGGACAAGGTCTCCAGGGTTTCTGCGTAAGGTGATGACTGGCCCACTTTCTTGTAGTCCCGCAGTGACATTGAGGTGGTGCTGAAGGTGCTTGAACGTTACGAAAACGTCATGGGAGCCAAGATTAACCGCGACAATTTTTCCGGCTTGCGGTTAGGTGCCTAAAAGGGGGTCGATCTGTACCCAACGTCTATGTCATGGGAGGCTGAGAATGCCACACTTGGCGTGTCACCGACGCGCCTCGAGGTTGGCTTTCCTACGCCACGCATTGACAGAGGATTCGATCTTGAAGGGAAGTGTGAGGGCCGCATTCCCTCGACTTACCTTCACTCCTGTTTCTAGGGCTGAGCGCCATCTTAGGCACAGGGATCAGTCGGATTTCCTCCTCGAGTGTTGATCGGCCTTGAGGGTCATTTCTCGGTCCAGTGTTATTTCTCTAGGAGAGTATTGTATTGGGAATTAGTGGGAGGTGGGATCGCGAAGGATCCGCTCTGCGCCCATTTCTGTTTGTCGGTGGCCAAGTTGCGCTCTTTCTAGTCTTGGGTGCTAACAGCGATTTTATTTCAGCATCCCTGAGTTTTCGCTTACCTGACTATTTTTGCTGGGTGGACGGGTCTTACTAACATCATTCTTTTTCATTTTGTTTTCGGGGGTCATCACCTCCCCATCATTTCATATCCTTGATATGATTTTAATATATATTTTTGTATACACAATTGTACGTATTGAAATTTGTACGTCATGGGGTGTTCTTTTTGTGTGTGTGAGGTATTTTGGTGTATGTTGGAGTGAATGGTGACGGGTAGATTCTAAAGGTGAATGAGCAAATTTTTACGAATGAATGGGTCGTGAATCTGATTAGTTAGATATAGGAGAGTTAATGTCGACCAACCTTGAGCCACCTTATCACTTGTTTAGTCCTTATGCCACAATTATTGTATACAGTCAGTAATAAATCGTAGACAAACAACGTTTGTTCAAAGACTTATAATTTTTTTGTAGATTTATATTGAAAAAAATGTTTAAATATAACTTTAAGAAAACAGATATTCTTTTGAAATATTGTTTAACACTGTCAAAGACTGTTTTTTTTCTTTTCTTTATCTATTCTGAAACCACGCTCTTTTAACTGCTGAAAAACAATGGAAGGATTACGTCAATCATTTTGTTTATTATTATTATTATATTTACTTTTCGTACTCCTTGTTTTCTTGCTAAGTTCTGTTTTCCTAAATTTCCTAGGGTCGCTCTGAAAGTAGTGATTCTTATTTAGTTATGTCGGCTTACGGTATCAGAAGCGTATCTTGGTGATGTGGCAGTGTAGTTTGAACCTTCCAGCCAATAACCCATGTTTTTTGCCTTGTTACAAAATTGCAAAAAGTGATATCTGACATAAGAGTATGTACAAAGCAAAAGTAAATGTAAATTCCCCCATGCATAAAAGAATTACCAATTCGCATTCATTAACGCTCGATGAAGGTTTATGGATACGAAAAAGCAGATTCAAGCGCAGTTAGGTAATATATTTCAGCATGTAGTGACATGAGTGAAAAGTAAAATGAAGAGTAACTCGAAAATTTTATAGACAATGGCGATATGTGAAGTAGATTTTTGAAAACGCGTTCAATTCAAGGCGTTCTTTGTAAATGTTGAAGTTTTCTTTGAAATAAACAGTAAGTTTTACTTTCGGAGCGTCATTCTTATTCGGCAAATATTTCCAGTTTATTTTATCCACTCTAGTCACTAACACTCTTTGTTTCTGTCCTGGATTCTTTCTTATTTGCATGAATATTCATTTTTTTCTTCCCTTACATTATTTTCCTTTCTTTCTTCATTGTTTCTGCATTTTCTGTTCTATCTTTTCTCATGCCTGTTTTCGTCTTATCCTTTTCCATTCCTTTTGTCTTCTTTGACTAATGTAATTTCCAAAACTAATCACTTTTCTCAATTCTGCTTTCCTTTCGTTTTGGTTCATTTATTAACAATATGCAGTGTAATTACTTGTAGGTCTTTTTTTGCTTTTACATTTTTAGCAACTTTAGACATTTTAGTGAATGATAACGTTGTATATTTACTGCTGGCATCATTTTTCTCTATTCAAGCAAATATAAATATGTTGAATGAGGATTTTTGTGGTAAGCAGGACTTCACCAAATAATATTCTAAAGTCCCTCTTTGTGCGGTAGATTTGGCTAACATAACTAAATATCTTTAGTTTTAGGTTTCATCTTCGTGAACCTCGTTATTAAAAAAAATGTGTTAGATATCTGAAATTATGAGCAGATAATGATCAGCTTTCATTAAGAGATATCCCTACGACATTAACATATATTTTTTCTATAACATGGCATCTTTTTTTCATTTAATAAAGTCAACACTTTGACTTTGCCATCTTTTTGTTCAGAAAGTTTCACCATTTCCCTACCACATTTACAAATGATTACCAAGGGAACATATATAACTTTATTAAAAATGTTCTTTTTTTAACCTGTTAAGTCAATTACTACCGCGACTAGGTAGTAAACAATCAATATAGCCTATAAAGGCTGGAATGAAAAATTGTCGGAATTACTCATTTTTTATTTTATTTTCATAACTGAATTAGTGGATGCTTTGTGCATGTAGGACTCATTTCCAAGGTATGAAATGAGAATATAAGCTGAGAAATTGTCATAAAACGTGCTTAAATGTGAAAGAAATTATTAAACAAAATTTAATAAAGAGAATGATGTTGTGTTACATTACAGTGTTCATTTTACTATCAGTAAATTATTCAATTTTCCTTTTTTATATATACTTTTCAAATTATACTGCTGTTGAACGTCTAAAAAGTGTTTATTTGAAATATGAGGTCACATAGCATATATTGTTTACAGCGATGGCCCTTCACAAGCTATGTTCTTTTCATTGTTTTTGTTTTAAAATAATTCTCTCATGGGTTCAAGTTTGCGAAAAGTAATGATTCTTATCAATAAATATTTATCTGGTATTACATACAGTTTAATTAGCGTCTTGTTTTTGGAAATGTGGCTATTCTGATTTTTTTATACTTTTTTCTTTATTTCTTTACAGCAATTTCCGACTGAATGGACTTGGAAGATCGAAGAAAATGGATAATTTCAAATCGATTCCAGATCGTATTCAAAGGATTTTTATTTTCTTATTTTCATTTTTTTGTTTTGTTTTCATAAACATCTACCTTCATTGCAAATTTCTCAGTAAAATTTTAAGAGCTTAAATTGTGATCATCGTCCCCCCCGCAAAAAAAAAGAAGCCTGTTGCAGTGTTTTCAAAAAGTTTTACTCATGAACTCTCGACAATTACTAAAACAATGAACACGTGGAGAAATGATCAGTAAAAGTCAGAGTAAAAACATTTCCTTTACGTCATAGAATATCAATGGATGAAGAGTAATGAATGCAAGACTTGTTAACATTAGAGATGCTGTATACAAGGGCGCATCAACAAGTCAACCTGACACATAATTATTACCTGTAGTTTGATTGAGAATTTTCTCTGTGTTATGTTCGATCTATAGGATTTGTAAGAGATTATGTTGAAAAAATGCTTACTGTCTGAAATGAATACTTACTTTCATTATTAGATTAAGGACTTACTGATTTGCATACGTATAGAAGTGAATGTCAAGCGTTTAGATAGTCCCTGAGGTTAAAGGCAGTACATATTGTAACGACCAAGGCCCAACTATTAGGTTTAGGTAACAAAACTATTTCTGACAGTTCTAGTGCATTATTTTGTTTCACGACGTCAGAGATTGCTGTTTGATGTATGCTGGTTAGACCCATAACATTCTTACAGATAGCAGATGAGCTACCGTCTGGCAAAATTGTGTCTGATATGGAACGTACAAAACAGTGTTTGGTTTGGTTGGTTCGTTTTTCACGGATTATCAACCCTCTGCAGATTACTTAAAGCCAGAAAATATTTTGTGGGGATAATAATGGATTAGTAATAAAAATTTTTTACTGATTAACTGATACGGGGTGGGGAGAGAGTGTTGCATTTATAGCTTGCCCAAGGATATTTGTGCGTAAGTAAATATAACGACCTAACGGGAATTGGAACCCTGCTCTCCGATTAGCAAATTCGAACCATTACACCACCCGCACATCCAAGCTTTTACCTAGCATTCCCAAGCGGTCACCTAAGTACAGACCAGGCTCGACGTTGCTTAACTTCGGTGATAAGACAGGAACCGGTGTATCAACGTGATGTGTCTGTAAGCCTACAGATCAGTGTCATTGGAAATGAATTACAGTTTATTGTGTGTGAGCGTTTACGCACACCAAATAGTAGAGATAAGTGCAGTTAGGCGGTGGGTAATGTGCTTCAGTATTTTGTGTTGCAGTTTTTGTGGAAATAAACAAGTGGCATTATTTACACAGTCTACAATATATAATCATTTCTTGATCAAAAATCAAGGGAGTAATAAAGTACGGGGTTTACATGTACTAGTATACGGAGAAAATAAATATTTTTTCTTGATTGTGTTAATTATCAAGCACCAGGGAAAATATTACAGCGTGCCATATTACTTGCTGATGACTAGAGTAATATTTCTATTAATCAGGTAGCCTTTTAGCGATTGAAAACAGTTGTCCTTATTCTTTTGTTTTTCTTTCATCATTTTCAGTCGATGAGGCCATGATTCGTCTTCGCGTTCGAGTTTTGAATATTCAGATAAGAATCCTAATATATGTTGTTTTTATCACAAGCGACAATTATTAATGGTACAAATGGCAATCCATACACAATTTTATAGTCATATATATATATATATATATATATATATATATATATATATATATATATGTGTGTGTGTGTGTGTGTGTGTATCTGAGAATACGTACAAATACAAATAAATTCTTCTGTATCTGTGGTAGCTGCAAATAAAAACTAACGATATAAGAATTTCCGAGAATAGAATATTAAATATTCTCATTTCAGCCTTATCTAGTTTGTATGTCATTATTCACGAGTTTGATTCTCACTGAGAACTTCAGTACTGTGAACTTTTACCCAACAAAGAGGAACTTCATAAAAACTACACCTATCCGCAACATTATCAGTGCGCATACTTGATTATGTTAATGTTGAATTCTGTAATGACGTAATGTTACAGTCATCACAATCAGGAACCAATAATCAGAGACTCTTCTTCAGTTGCAAAAATACAACAGTCCTCAAACAGGGGCTTTTGATATATTTTCCATTACAACTTCGAAATTATTAACTTGGAGATTTTTACCTGATCTTTCCCATGCATTTATTAGCCTCATCAATTTTTAAAGTAATCATTCAATAACAACATTGATTTTAATTGTACATTTTCAACTTCATTATGAACTCAAACAAATATAAAACATGAAAATCCTGATTTGACTGAACAATTCATTTATTAGTATTATTTTTTATCATTAAGATATGCGAGACGTAAGTTCAAGATTTGTAGCCGCGTTACTTTTTTGGCCAAAAAGTATTCGACGCAAAACGCTGTAAGGAAAAGTAAGAACATGAAGAAAAGTAGAATGAGCGAAAATCAGGAGGGGTAAGGTGTGTTCTATAATAGCCTAAAAATGTAGTAAAAAGTTAATATATTATATATCAATATTGTTTTAAGATAAATTGTCAGTAAAATACCTCAGATCGTTTTTGGAAAGATTAATAAAATATTGTGAACAACATACTAAAATCACATAACAAGGAACCAGGGTCGAAAGCATTTTGTCGGTATTTTTACATACTTCTTAGTTGTCATTAGTAAACTAAGATATAAGCATCTGTACAAATAATCCACATGTTCGAATTCTTATAAAGAGGAGCAGAAGCATAAAATGATATATATATATTAAGAAATGGACAAGGTCCGACAATTTATTTATTAAAGACATTTTTATGTTTAACGTTGTTATTTTATAGATACAAGTATTTAAGCAAATGCTCTGTTTATGATAAACAGTATTAAATAACATTTACCGTTATTGTCCAGTTATGAATGTACGAGATTCATGGAAGATTGGAGTTTATAAGCAGTAAATTCGACCTTGTCTACCGAACGGTTCTTTGTAGCCTAGAGGTAAGGCACGTCAGCGTATATGACGGTTCCGTATAGGATGCATGTTCGAATCCTGTCAAAGAACGAATATTTTCTATGAAAATTTCTCGGACATTCAGGCCGGTAAATGTTATTTAATACTGTTTATCATAAACAGAGCATTTGCTTAAATACTTGTATCTATAAAATAACAACGTTAAACATAAAATGTCTTTAATAAATATATATATATATATATATATATATATATATATATATATATATATAAGCAAATGTAAATGGATATAGATCCGACAGAATGAAGAAAAATTTGGAAAAAACAAACAAAAATCCTTAAATGCAATTATGTTGTTTAAAATGAATGAAATGTCGACATCTGACGCTTCGGTTTAATAAACCTTTTTCAAGACAATATTCATTAAAATACAATTCAGTTCAATTTGACAAAGACGATGGACATAAACAACAAGTCTTATCCAAAACAGATAACTGAAAATTTTTAAAATGATCAGCTTTCCGTTTAGCATGGTCACGTTGTCGTCACATGGGCGACGCTTTCAAAATGTATTCCTAAAAATTTTGATTATTTTGAATGAAAAAGAAAATGAAAAGAATTCTATTAGGATCTAAAATTTTTATGTGTATGTTTGTCGAGCATTAATCTCGCTAAAAAAGGGGAAATATTAAAGAAACCAGGTCTAGTATTCACCGTGCGTGAGATGGATATTATACCTGCTTCATAAATCCTCCTGAGATTTTTATTATGAAAATATTTTAATACCTTCACGGAATCGAAATCGAAATTATGATCTGCTTTAGTTGTGTGTACAACTAAAGCATTGTTAAAATTTCCGAGGCGAATATCTCGTTTATGTTCGAAAACACGAGATTTTACAGACCTACATGTTTCACCCACATATTTTAGGTCACAGTTTTTGCATGATATTTGATAGATGCAAGCATCGGATGTAATATGTTGTCTGCTGGTGCTATTTAATAAACTACGGATAGTCCTAGTAGGTAATATAGTAGTTCTAATTTTTAATGCATTTAGATTATGAGAGATACGTTCGGTCAAATGGTTATTTGATAGAAAAATGCGACCAAACGAAATATTATCAGAGGCAACTGAAATTTTATCTTTCATTGATGTAGTTGTAGTGGCATTCGAGGTGTCATTTTACGCTGATGAGTGAATTTTCAACGCTTTATTTTTAGCTCTCTGTAATAATTGTCTCGGATACGAAAGATTGGAAAAGGTATCCTCAATATATGTGAATTCATCATTTAAATATTTTGATGAACAGATGCGAAGAGCCCTTAAATAGAATCCATTAACAATACCCCTCTTAGTGTTAGTATCATGGTGAGAGTAAAAATGTAAATAGTCATTTTTACATGTACGATATACTTTGAATTTTTATTTTTAATGAGTAGTATGTCTAAAAAAGGTAAGGGATTATTAGATTCAAGTTCATAGGTAAATTCTATAGTAGGTTCTATTCTATTTAATCGATCAGTAATATTGTTTAAATCCATGCTTATGTGGGTAGATAAATAAAATGTCATCGATGTATCGGAAGTAATGTGTATCAGGTGGAATGACATCTTTAAAAGGTCCAGATTCAAGAAATTCTAGAAATATGCATGCTAGGAATCCAGAGAGAGGACTCCCCATCGGTAAACCAAATGTTTGTTTATAATAAATATTATTATATTGGAAGAAACAATGTGAAGTGCAAAGGATGCATAATTTGATGCATTTCGAGATAGAGATAGGTAGCTTAAAGTCAATTTTCTTAAGGTGGTTTAATTGTTTAATGCATTTATCAACAGGTATATTAGTATATAAAGATTTGATGTCTAAGCTAGCTAGTGATTTGTTATCTATATCAATATTTCTCAACTTATTTTAAAGAGAGCCTGAAATCTTTATATGTGCGTTACTTACGGTGCCCAGAATTGGAGTTAGAAATTTAGTTAAATACCTAGCGATATTATGAGGAGCTGAGCCTATACCCGAGATGATGAGCCTTAATGGAATGTTAGGCTTATGGGTTTTGGGGAGGCCATAAATTTTAGGGACGGTGGGGTGGTAGTTAATAAGGGAAAGCCAAATCTTATCTTCATTACATATGAATTTCTTATAGGACCTATTAAATTCTTTTAGATTCTTAGAAATTTGTATAGAGGTGATCTGTTCATAAGTGTCTCTATCATTTAGCAAGTCCAACATTTTCTGGTTGTAAGCAATGGTATCCATGACAACAACACCGCCTCCTTTATCAGAAGGAGATATAATAATGTTATTATTCATAGACAAGGATTTTAAGGCATTCATGTACCTCTTAGGTAAATTGAATTCCATATTTTGGCCATTAAAAGAGGCAGCTAAAATGCCTTGAGTAAAACCTTTAAGGAAATCAGAATCACTGTGTTTGTAGTTTATATTTATCAATTTGCTAATATTGTGGTCTTTTGAACCAGTTGCAAACTTTAGACCAAAACTAAGGGCTTCAGTCTCCAAAGTGCTGAGTGTGGTTTTGGAGACATTGGTAACTAGATCCGTTCTACCCATATTCTTCCAACAGCTGCGATCACATAAAGTATGGAATTTTAGTTTTAAACTCCTGATGTGTTTTTGATTAATTCTGGTCACTTCGGATCGAAGTCTCTCCGCTGTGATGCGAGACATGCTGTTTTTCAATTTTAGTTCACGTCCTAGAAGTGTGGCTTTTAAAAAGGTTTGTTTCTCGGAAAACTTTAAATCTTTTACTGATAATTCCAGGTAAAGTTTGATATAGTCAGGGAAAATATGTGAAGATGATTTCATAATATTGGACAAGCCCGATGGAACGATTTTTAATATTTCCCCATTTTTAGCGAGATTAATGCTCGACAAACATACACATAAAAATTTTAGATCCTAATAGAATTCTTTTCATTTTCTTTTTCATTCAAAATAATCAAAATTTTTAGGAATACATTTTGAAAGCGTCGCCCATGTGACGACAACTTGACCATGCTAAACGGAAAGCTGATCATTTTAAAAATTTTCAGTTATCTGTTTTGGATAAGACTTGTTGTTTATGTCCATCGTCTTTGTCAAATTGAACTGAATTGTATTTTAATGAATATTGTCTTGAAAAAGGTT